TATATATATATATATTATCTTTGATTTCTCGCGTGCGCGCTGATTCATAGATCCTAAAATATCGAATCACGCAAGAGGCGAAAATAGGTTTGCGTGAAATAAGGAGGGACATAGAATTTTTCTATATTTTGTTTATTTTAAGGTGTTAACGCCAAAACGTCGATGTTCGCCAAACGTCAGAAATCAATTATCGGAAACAATTTCTCATTGGAGAATAATCGACACCGATCTGTTTCTCTTCCACCTTTCCCACGGACAAGAGATTCTGTCCCGGGCAGGGACAGAACTACATGCTGTCGTATCGGACGAAATTACGGCAACTTAATCTCTGTCTTTATTTCTTTCTTCCTGTAATCACACCCTGCTGGCCGGTTCAGAAACTCATAGATATTTCGGATACGTAGGCGATTGGACTAAACGTCTTTTTAATGTGTTTTGTATCTGCGATATATTATATATTGCCTTTATGAAAGCATCAAAAACAATTTCGTGGACCACTCCTCCTTTCTCATAAAAGTTGTAATTTTATTCTTTAATTCGAATAAAATATCGTCGCGTTCGGAGCAGTACAACTCGGTACTAGAGACTTTAATTCCAAAAGAATCTTATGAAATGTGAACAATTTGGAGTATCTAGTAACTATCCTTATATACGTATCTTATTCTAAAAGCATATGTTTTTATACCACATTGATGCACCGATTATATCGACCATCTTCTTCGGCAATAAATTCCACAATCTCGCGTTTTATCGTTGCTTCTCCTTTTAATTGTGCGCTATTTTTAATCATGTAAACATTGATCTTTGTGCTTTATAACTCGACGTCCGCGACGTCAAGCGTGACAAATAAAAGCCCCGGACCTCGCACATATGGCACGAGTTCTCGCAGGCGATATGTAACCAGTCGGTTTGAGTGTGTCAAGCGTACTAGTCGATAATCGCCTTCGGCGAAAATTGATGGCGGAATACCATCGCCTGTGGAATTCTCTGTTTTCGAAATTGCAGTGTCAGAGCGACGGCAAAATATGAGCTGAAGCGACGATGTCATCGCTAGTCTAGTCCCCGTCTCTTTTACTCATGTCAATAATATTGATTTATTTATACCTATAGATATTTTTAATTAAATGGGTAATTATATTGTCCGTTTGAATTATGTATAAGCAGAATTTTAATAAATTTTATTAATTATTTAATAAACTTTTCAATTGTGAATATGACGTACAATTATTTCTCGAGTACATTTTGTCGTAATATATTCATCAATGTGTAATTGCATATCGATTGTATAAAATATTTTGATTGTAATGTATTAATAGTAAAATTCTGTACTGCATTAACGATGTTTGTCAGTATTGTACTTATAAAAAGCATCGTAAAGATAATCATAATAATGAGATATTATTATAATTACTGATATAAAATCACTTAAATCTAATTAACACAATTATCCATATTTTTCATTGATTTAAAACAAACGTCGCTAACACAAAATACGCAATAATTTGTCAGTTAATTCGATTCCCTGGTTTAATCACCCTCACTAATTATCTGATACTTATCTCGCTTTGAAATCTGCATAGTAAATATATCACCTTAAATTAATCACGCATTGATCCTTATCATAAGCATTCGTAAGCGAGAAATTTTTGTCTGCTAAAACTATTTAAATGTCTCTTAATTTTATAATTCTAAAAACAAACATACATTTTTTTGTGTATTCTACTAAAAATATTAATAATTCTAAAATAATTGCTAAATCAAGATTACCGCAAAAATATAATATTTACATATTCAATATGAAATCGAGTAAAATTGTTTTGTCATGAATTTCTAAGAAAGATCCATTTTAGGAACTCGATTCAAATCTAGGTTTTATAAGTAAATGAATATCTAAATCCCTCGTCTCGGGAGAACCGCGTGACGAACACGAGGCGCACGTTTTCTTGTATAAAGTTCGTATAAATCGCGCGTTTCGTCGTGGCGTCGAACGTAAAGGCAAACTATCACAGCAATCGCCACGAGAATGCGCGCCGCTGAAGCGCATCTGACGAACAGGAGAGAAGAATGAAGAGTGAAACGTAAAACTTTAGTTAAATCCGTGTGTATCTACATCTAGCAAGAGCTTTTAGAGAGCTTTCTAGAGAGTTTGAGACCTAATTAAACGACACATTCAAAATGTATCCATGTGTATAGTATCCATACTGGAGTACATGTTGGGCATGCTGTTTCTACTGCCTTGGCCGAAGATAGTCGCGTCGATGCCTTCGTCGTCCAATTCCTCCGAGAAATTTACCAGAACCTGCACATTAAATGGAAAAATTTAATACTATTTAAATAATCCGATAAAATAATTTTTTCATGAAAGAAATGATGGATATATTATTAAAATGATTTTGTCTGTGATATTTCCGTTATATGTTATATATATTAATATTTATATAACAAAATCATTTTTGTAGCAGTGCGTAATTTTGCTTTATCGATCAAAGCTCGCGTTTGTGATTATCGAGACTGCGAGTCGCGAAGTTCTCCGCGAAGATTACGCATGCGAACTTTCGATCGCGGGGTCGTTGTAGTTGCGTGCTTTTCGTAGAAGCACGATCCAGCAGCGGGATGGAGGGTGAGCCAACTCTTCTTGCAATGAAGACCCATAAAAATCTCAAAACTTTTCTGACCGGCCAAGTTTGCCTGGTTATACGTACAAGCCCGTCGCGATGCTGCAAAAAATTCCCACTTTGTTTGCGAGATTGCCGTACCGTCTTTGCATCACGGCAAGAAATGCATTTACATAATGTCCTGACGTCGCAAGCGACTGCTTGGAATGGATTTTTTTCGGAAAATATATACGCCGTGAATCAATTATTCAACGGACCACTTCGGGGTTCAATATTAAAAACTATTGACGCTCGCGTTATTGCATTATAATTATTATAACACGAGAGAGAGAGAAACAAAATGAACACAAATATAATAGAAATGCTGTTGCAATAATATAAAAAAAACAGTAATCATATATCCATAAATATAATTACGTAATTTCTTCTAAGAAGTATACTTCATTAATTTTCTTATTAGTGAAATAGAAAATAATATGCATTATTATATAAGATTTTATAATCTTCTCGTTTAATTTACTAAAGTGTTTTAATCTTCATTTTTAGCAATTTTTGATAAATGACAACTCTTTGACATTGTGACTGTCGACATTTTCTTAATTTAGATTCTAAGTATAGTTGTAAGAGAACATTTGTGCTTACTCCATATGTTTTACGCTTCTAATTTTCGAAAGATGAATGCATGCGCTTGCGAAACCTTTAAAAAGATATGCAAATAGTTTTCCATAGAATTGCAACAATCTAGAACTTCTTAGATTCGACCTGACCCAGTTTACTATATCGTACTGGGAACTTAATTTATATTCCGAACCGTGCTAACTTGAGCTGTTGCTATTGTCGTTACTGTAGAAGCTTACAAAACAACGGGGTTTATAGCAGCCCTTAATGTTCGCACGAACTAAGTTTCAAGAAGTAGGGATGAATACGTGACGCAAGTTTATATTTAACGACGATTTAAATACATCTAGAAGAGGATAGAAGACGGTACTTTCCGCAGCGATGATGGCGCGCGTAAACTTCTTTCTCGTTAACAACAATTAGCAACGGTAATCTCGAAAGCGTTAAATTTAAAAGAACGAGATGCACAAATGCACGGTAAATGACGGATCGATATTTTTAGAATGAATCAATTACACAGAAATTGAGAAATCTCACGGGCTGATAGATCGATCATATTATTTGTCGAAAAGATTTTTTCTGTGATGATAAAAAGGTTCCATAAAACTTCCACTCATTGTTTCAAGTATTGAATTTTTCTTACTCCGCCGCCACATTATATTATAAGTGATCAATAATTTATCGTATTCGATGATGCTTCTCTGGAATTTTTTATGCTTTTAATTCCATTCTCGTGAATATTGATATTTTATTCGTGAGCATTTTTTTTTATCTCCCACACGTTTTTTAATAGATTCCGTAAATTACATAAATTTACGGTGTTTATTTTCAACCGAATTTTTAATCGATGTTTCAATAATGCGCGAGAGAGAGAGAGAGAACAATAGTTTATAATAAGTTTTTAAAAAATAAAAAATATTCTCTCTCTCTCTCTCTCTCTCTCTCTCTCTCTCTCCCTCTCTGCCGCCGTTTTACGTTTCGCGGAAATTAAATCCCACCTTTTTGATCATGGTCGATCGATCACTCAAGCGACGATTTCAATTCCCGCTTTTCCTCAAGCGTCGATGGTTCATTTCGATCTGGAGCCGTTTCTTCGAGTTTTCAGACGCTGCAGAATAGTTGGAAGTGGATTGCGCGCACACTTTTAAGACCGTAAAATCTACATATACCCACATCGGCAATCTTGCTGTCGCACAACTCGCGTGATTTATGATCATTACTCGCAACTAAGCGAGAAATATTCTGTGATTGATGTATTGTTAAAAAATATAAAATAAATAAAAATTGTCTATAATGGAATTGTTATAATATTCCATTTCCATGGCTTTATTTTATTCTACGATTATGACGAAAAATACCTATATTTGCATATCATCTGCTGCAATAAATTTTTAATCCACGTATGTATAAAAAATAAAAATCACTTTTCTCTTATTAATAAACTAACGAAATAGATTAACATGAAATTAATTTTACTACATTTCAGCAAGTAAATTAGGATAAAACAACAATGAATAGTTTTATATAGCGTAAAAACATTTTAAAAAATCTAGCTATAAACTTTAATTCTAATTTAATTCACTGTCTCTAGCCACAGAAGTTCCTTATATAAAAAGTAAATTTAAAAAAAAAAGCAAAGAGATTACATCAAAAGCTTTATGCGCCGTTGTAATGGCCACTTTTTAAGTTAATACCATGTTGCTCGCGCACGAATTCTCTTTGTAGGACGCAACTGAATTTTCCGCAATTTTCAGATTTCACTTCGATGCACTGCAGCTTGCGCCACGAAAATAATTAATAGCGTAATATCGCGGTATTACATACATACACATACATCTTACATTTGAGAGCATGTTAATTAAAGTTAACATTTTAATCGTCTCCTATATAAGAATTTAAAAAGTTTTTTAATTAATTTTAAAATTAAATTTTTTTTCTTTATTAAGCGACTTATGCAAATGCAACGGATAGCCACTTTACGCGCGCTAAACTTCGCAAAGAGTCGCGAAACCTGAAAGTTTGGCGGTAAGAAAAGGGACCGAGCAAAATGTAAATTTCGGCTACCCGGGCACATACATCTTCCACGCAAATACATTCTTCTCGGTGGCATTACGACCAACACGCATCGTATGTAACTCGTCCATTCGTAAGTTGTGACACTCGGGTCACTCGCTTACACGTCAGTCGCGCATGTTTATCGTGTTTTAGAAATTTTTATTCCCGAGCAGAGAAACGCGGGAGTTTTATGCGCGAGAAAAAAAAATATGCACGAGACATCATGCACGTTCATAAGTTTACGAGAATACGTATAGAGTGAAGAGATAGGGTAACTCATAATTTCGTACAAAATGTGGCACCCGAACAAAGATGTGTAAAGAAAAATTTGAGCAAAACGGCAAGACACTTTTTTACACTTATATTAAGCATATATGCTTGTGCGAAGTTATCAACACATGATTCTTTAATTGCATTTAATTTAATTGTATATTAATTGAATGATATCGTTAAATACGATTCGAGAAATGCATCACAAATGACTTCGGCGCTTTGACGTGTGTATTTACGATGCGCTGACTCGCTTATATACTAACAATATGCCGATTTACCAACAATGCTCGCAATCCTCTCACATTGAACCGGCGCGAAAGACAATCGTCGTTGTAATGCTCGATGTGCAAAGGCTTCGAGAATGCAAGCGGAATGCAAGGGAACGCGTATCGTGTGTATGCGATTTACACTCAGGCAATCTCGAGAAGATTCGGGCTTCATTATTCGGACGGTGAACTATTTCCAGGCAGAGAGTGAGCGGTTAATTAACAACAGTTTTCGCGGAGATGGGGAGAGGGGAAAGGGGATCGGCGCTGCGCGTTACAGCTATCCGGAAAGCATTTAGGCGAGCTTAGAGGCAGTCAGCCGGTGGCGAATTTCCCGCCATCCTCCCGCCGTCCTGCCTCTCCTTCGCAGCTTGTAAACCATCGCGAGGCTGTAGGTAAGTGAACTACGAAACGACGGATCCATTAATATCCGTCGGGATCGGTGGGACGAAAACGCGGCTCGTCTTTGGACGACAGGAGGAGGAGGAGGACTGTTGTATATACCGGCGGTGCATCATCTGCTGCAGACAAGCCTTAGAATATTGCGCATCCGCCGAATATTCACCGAAAATTACGTTGCAAAAATAAACATGCTTTAAATATTTTAAATTTGCATATGACGATATAATTTCAATGAGAGATATTATAAGTCGAGGATCAGACTAATGCAATTTGATGTATTATATAATAAACAATTCTCTCCCGGGGGAGCATCTGAAATAATATATCGCAAAGTTTCATGAAAGGCGAGATGGAGTACTTGAAAATCAAAACTGTTGAGAATCCGCGAAACAATGTTGCTTTGTTGAATTGGATTCACTGACCTGATCCAACGAGCTTTGTGTGAGTGTGTAGTCCGTGGCTTTAAGCTCCTCCACCAATAGCTTCACCATGCTGAAACTCATGCTGAGTGTCGTGTCTTGACTCCGTGGTAGCAAAAGTCGGGCAGCCGTTGCCTGCCTAGAAGAGATCATCGCCTGTGGCAGATATTTCAGGATAGCTTTCCTAAGATCCGTAGCGGAGACTGGTTGGCCGAATCTCAGGAAGACAACATATCCTTCGCCGAATCTGAAAGTCAAATGATATTTTCAGATATTTCGAGGCAAATTTTCGATACATGTCAAAACGATATTTAAATTAATTATGACAAAGTAACGACGCGAATTTAAGAATAGAAAATTGTATTGAAATATTGCGGGGATGTTAATAAAAAAAAATCTGCTTTTTTTCCCTTCTTTTTTTAGTATTTTTAAGTTACAATTTATTCGCTTTCTAGCTGCGTTCGATCGCAAGGGACGTGGATCTATATTTCAAAGTCTCGTCCTGGACAAAAGACGCAGAAGATAAGCTTCCGCAGTGTCTTCTATACTGTAACAAAGTGCATTCACTATTCTTTATCATTCAACGTACTCTCCGCGATACATGAGAGCGAATTGCAGGATGGGCTACTAACATGGACAGGACCGAATCGTAAATTCTATCCTCGATGGCGAGAGACATCACAGGAGAGAGAAGATCGACGTGGAAGAAAAGGTAAAAGAAGGTCATTTTCCGAGATACTTCTAGAAACACTTCGGATTGTTAGAAGTTAAATATTTACGGAGCTTGACGTTATTCCGAATAGGCGATGCCATACGCATTTAAAAACTGAGATAGATAGATCTTCTACATGTATGTATAATTGATTTTGATCAGAAATAACTATCCGATAAGACTAATAGCTCCGTCACATCAGTGATAATGCTGACATATTAATTAATTTACGTAGTACCGTGCAATTCTTTTACTAAGGAGATTAGTAAGAGGTCTTAATTTTCTCAATCATAAGAATATTGTCATCAAAGGTCTCAGACTTAATTAAATTCTCCGGCGGTCTAATTAAAATGCGTTACGGCGAGCATAAATTTCTCTTTGAGTGTCGCTCAAATAATATTTGTGGATCTAAGTCAGCGATCTTGTATTGTGAAGTCTAATGGGATCTTAGCCCTTGTCTTCTCCTTCCTCCACGTTTCCGTTCTGTGTCGCTTTTAACTCTCTCATAAAGATGATTATTGAACGATATAAAGGTAAGACTTTTCGATTGAAGAATTTATTAAGCTACAAAACATAAGTACAGAACGTAAGTACAGAACATAAGTACACCCGTAAGTTCTCAAGTCAAACTGCAAAAAAAAGTTGCAAACAAAAAGCGGAGAATCAAGACTGATAAAAGCGCGGACCTATAAGGTTTACGAGTCTGCTGGGAAATATCCGATCGCGAAATTAAATGAGACGCGATATTCTACGAAAATACGAAGTTCGATGTAATCTTACTTGTGTTTCAAATGCTGCGGAGTTCCTATACACCTGAGACCGGCTTTGGCGAGGATTCCTACTCTCGTGCAAAGGTTTTCGCATTCGGCAACACTATGCGAAGTCAGTATAACGCATCCTTGATTTTTCGTCACGTGTTTCACCGCTTTTGCTACGAGATTCTTCGTGGCAGGATCCATTCCGCTAATGTACGCGCGAACAAAAAAATATTATTTTATTAACGCGAAGAATTAAGTATCTGTTTTTGCATAGTTAATGTAATGGTTAATTAAAGGGTAATTATAAAATTATGCGAAAAGTACCTCGTGGGTTCGTCCATGAGAACTATTGCCACAGGTGCCATGACACTTATAGCGGCGCACAGCTTCCTTTTGTTACCGCCGCTGAGACCATCGACCCTTCGGTGAGCATACTTGAGCAGATCGAACCTCTTCAGCATTGTCTCGACAGCCTGAAATAAATGAAATAAATTTCAATTCCAAACTTTTGTGTCTACAGATATACATAAGTTTTAATTAAAAATTTTTTTATTTTCTTTTGCTTGAATATAAAAGAATCTGAAATAATTTTCACGAACATTTTCACCATTAACTCTTAAAAAATTCCAAATCAATAATACAAACACATTTTATTTAACAGGCTTATTTTAAATAATATTTTTTGTATAAATTTAATGATAAAAGAAATTTGTTACTACCTTAGGAACATTATTCAGTCCGCAAACTTCACCGTGAATTGTCAGACACTGATGGGGAGTGAGGAATCCATCCAAAGCATCGCTCTGAGGGCAGTAGCCAACCTCGCCGTTGCACAGAGGTCCAGCGCCAATCTCACTTCCCCTAAGAATAATCTTCCCGGCCGTAGGAATGATTTCCGTTGTCAGCATTTTAAACGTCGTGCTTTTTCCCGCCCCATTCACCCCCAGGAGGCCGAAGCATTTTCCGGCTTGTACGCCAAAACTTAAATTTTGCACCGCGACATTTGTCCCGTATACGCTCCTATATTCCTTCCTCAGCTTCACGGTCTTCAAGGTATCGTCGACCATTCCGACCTCGACTCTCAGTCTCTCCCTGGCAACATCATCGTCCTCTTGCACGACCTCGTAACCGATCTTCTGTTTTCTCAAATCGGGCAAGACGCGACATTCGATCGCCAGATTCAACGCGAACAGAATCGCGCCGATTACAGTCAGGAAAACGTAATGGAGACCGAGAAGATCCCAGCCGAGCGGTGACTTGTAAGTGTCCATGTGAAATCTCTGCAGCAATTCGGAGGTGATATCGTTCTTCGATATCTCGACTAACGCGTCGCCGAGAGTATATTGCGGGAAGATCATCAGGATGTAATGCAGGGTATTTCTCACGTCTTCGGCTGTTTTAGTTTTACCGAGAATGTCGAGTACTAAGATTGTCGCTAGAGAAGCCACACCTATGAAAGTATTTACGCAGAAAAGCACCATGTTGGACAGGCTCGAGTCGTCGAACGCTTTCTCGGCCAGATGCGAAAACGGTATTGCCGCCCATCTAAATAAATCGATAAATTTTATAAGGATCTTTTATCTCTCATTTCGATTTATACAAGAACAAAAAATTAATTGTATAAATACTTACGCGAATAAAAATAATAAAAGGCAGACACCGGGAAGATTATCTTTTGCAACATAAGCCGATAAACCGAAAATTTCGAAAACAGCTACCGCCAAGCAAATAGCACAGCCAAATACCTAAAAGAAAATATTATTAAAAAAGCATTTGAAACCGTATTACGTACAAATTAATTCAGGATATTGAAAAGATTTTTTTGCACATTTTGTTTAATAACTTACTATGAAATCCCAAATTAAAACTGTCGTCCAATATGTAATAGGATGAACTCCAGCTAAATAGAGTATTCTCTTCTCCTCGGATAATCGTTCTCTCACTAACTCCTTCGCACCCTGAGCTCCAACTAAACTGAACGCTATCAAAAGTACTAGCGCCACACCGACATCCGCCACATGTTGCAACCTAACAGAAATAAAATATCATAATATAAAATTTTTGACGTTTCTGAAAAGACTTTTAATTCAATTATTATAAAAATTTGAAAGAGAGAAAATATAATTATATATCTAGATATCTTTTTTATATATAAAATGCGTTATTGTTTATGTATTATACTCTTAATAATAATTAAGAAGAACAAACGAAAGTAATATTATTAATGATATAAGAATACAAGCAAGACTCTAGCGACTGAAGCTGCAATGAAACGTTGAGACCGACCTGCTGTTGACATGAATACTAAATGACGCGGTACGTTAATTAAAAGTAAACGAAACATTTACTACGCCGATACGAGCTGACTCTCTCACCGACTCTTTCAGTTCAAAAGCTTCACGCAAATATCGTCGCTTACCCGTTTAAACGAATCTGCTTGTATCTCTCTTTCCCGCTTTTTCTCTCTATTTATGTAAAATTCTATAATTGATTAATTTCCACACACGTATGTAACAATCGCGATGAGAAAATGGTGCCATGAATAACATTTTTGTTAGAGATTTTCCCGTAAAATTACAGATTTATCACGGTATTAAAGTTAACGCTCACAAAGTAGTTCGATTCAGCTGATCGCTCGATAGCTTCAAGGGATGATTGAGTGTAGTTAAATGTCCTTGCACCCCGGATGCTCGCAGGATTGCCTCATTGAGAGCGTTCAGGTACGACGGCAACGAGTGGTGGCCCTTGTTATTGTACCAAACGACAAAAAGAGGATCTTCTTTGTCGTGTGATAGAGACCAACCGCCGTATCTACAAGCAAGTTATTTCTGAGAAAATTTCAGCGAAATTTTATAATTTATCTAATTCTTTCATCGCAAAAAATTTACCGTTTTTCTATATATTCTTGATGCGTCGAAACGATCCAGTCCAAAGTAGGTCTACCAGGTAAAGTCTGAAGAAGACCTTCGACGGCTTTAGAAACACCCCGACAGGATTGTTGACCATCCAAACATTCGCAGGTTCCGGTATCCTGCAAATAATCCGAAAAATAAATTTTAATTAAAACTAAAATTTCTTTAAATTTCGCAAGAAAATATTTATTCGTTACGTTGGGTAAAGTTTGCCATGCGCCCGCGTAGTCATCCCCGAAACGATCGTGCAGCTGCATTGATACATGTTGTAGGAACGGATCGTTACTGTCATCAATACTGCAATAAAAAATATCAAAAAATAATAAAAAATATTAGGGAAAATGAATATTTACTTCAATAATTTATAAACAGATTTAAAATTTTATTTTATATAGAAAGAAAGCCAGTTGATATAATTTTTATATATGACATTTAAATTAATTAGAGAGATGACATTAATCAGAGAGAGCTTTATCATACTCTGTCTTTATCCTTCTTTTTTGTTAAAATTTTGATTTTCGCCTACTTGTAAAAGTAAGTCGGATGAGCGTCATAAAGTTTGGGAGTCAGAACCAGAGCTGATTCGTCCTCAGATGGTGGCCGTATTAGAGAAAATCCCATAGCGACTGCGACGAACATAGTCGGTAAAATGAGCGCTGCCAACGGTGCTCTCCAGTCTCTCGCGAAATGCCATAGTCTCTTCTTTATCATGGCCTTCATTTGTCGGATCGGCGAGGGCTTCATTATTATCTCCGTAGAACTTAAATCGATTTCATCATTCGACATGGGAATTTCTGCGCACAAAGCATAAACCTCTATTTTTTCTATAAATTTAAACGTCGAGCGAAAGCTGACTAAATGTATCTGTTTACAACACAGTAAATTTGTTTGTTGTAATTTTGATCCGCTTAATCAAATATCAAACAAAGTAAAGTGACATAGTAACGACATAGTAATTAATGATTTTATTATCATGCCATTTACTTTTTATGTGTATCTTCTCGTGTTTGTTAACTGTTGTAACTTTGAAATTACAATAAAAATCCGTTTCTAAACTTTTGCGTTTTCACACAAGAGAGTAGAGATTTATTATTTATTTTATTTTTTACATTCATTTCTAATCTTTCTATATAAATTCTCAAAAAATAATCTCGACGGTAAAGAATTAATTTTTATTTTATTTTTTATAATTGCAAATATTTTATCTATGGCATGCAAATACTGTGTGGAATGTTTCTCACCAATGTGTTCTATTACGGCAACGCTATCTTCATTCGCTTTGATAATGCTCGATTTGTTGTCTGCACGCGCGCAAAGATCCAAGAAGACTCTTTCCAAAGTGTCGCACTCCAATGAGAAGTGCGAGAATCCCAAGAGCTTACGATTGTCTTCCAGCAATTTCGCCGCTTGCGCGATGCTGAAACACCGGCAGGTTTTACTCAAACGCAAACGCAGGTGTTTAACCGATTTCGTTTCGAGCGACTATGATTATAACAATTCTCCCAAGGTAAATCATAAGACTTGAAACGTCAAATATTTGTAAAGCCGGAATGAATTACAAGCAGCCCGTAGCGTTACCATACATCACCGTAAAATGAGTAGATTTTATCTAGGACTTTCTTCTCATCCCTTGTAATGTATTATACGCGAATTCGTAGAATACGCGAATCATATGTAAAAGCGAATTAAAAACCAACAAAATATAATTCAAGATTTGATTCTAAGATTAATTAATTTTCAGACAATATTTATATATTAATATCAATTAATACTACAGATATTTACTCGTTATTTATGCCATTCTTTCCCTGAAAAGGTAACGTAACGATGACCTCCGATTCTGAGATTTCATTTATCGTGGCGTTTGGTATAACTTCCTCGATGATTGTGTGAAGAGCCTTCAAGTTCTTTTTGTCGATCGTCTCTCCTATCCCGCCTATTCCCGCTTCTCCGTTGGCGTAATGATCGGTCGGAAAGGATACGTTTAATCTGTATCCTCTGCCGTACGTCATTTTCAAGGACAGTGGCGAACCGGTGCACAAGATCTTCCCTTTGTGCATCACCACGACAGTGTCGCTTAGCATGTCGGCCTCGTCCAGATGATGTGTCGAGAGGAGCACGGTCCTACCGATTCTGTGTTGGTCGATCAATCGCCAGATCCGTCGTCTAGCCGCGGGATCCACACCGGCCCCAGGCTCGTCCAGAATCACTAATCGTGGCGAACCAAGGAAGGCCAGAGCTACGCAGAGCCGACGTCGTGTGCCACCTGATAAACGTGACACGGGCTCGTGTTCTTGCCGCCCGAGCTCCAACGAAGCTAGCATTCTGTAATATATAAAACGAAGGAACTTGTATTTTGACTCTTTTAAAATTATTGCTTTCCAGGAATTAAAAAAAAGAAAAAAATTAATGAATATTTCTTTCTAAATGATGCAAAAAAAAATTGGAAATGTTTATAATTATATTGTTTAGTATCTTACTCGTTAACGTTTTTCTCCATTTCAATGTTATTACTGCCAGATTTTTTAAGTTTCCAGTAAAAAATCATATGCTCTCTCGGCGTCAGAGTTCCAATGAGCACATTATCTTGAGGACACACTCCTATATCAGGCTTGCAATCCTCCTCACCATTCAAACGAATCTCGCCACTGGTCGGAGGCACCATACCTGTTAGCATTTTGCTGTAAATGAAAAAAAGTAATTGGCGAAAATGTCTTGCTGTAATATTGAATTGTCCAATTAGCCGCGGGAAATTAACGCGCAGCTTAGAAATAGTTAACGTACATAATAGTCGTCTTTCCTGCGCCATTTCTGCCAAGTAGACTTGTCACTTCACCCTCGCAGAGATTTAAAGTAAAGTCCTCCACGGCCACAACATTGCCTTGCTCGGTGTGATAAACTTTTCTGACACACTCGAATTTTACACCGATTTGTTTCTCTGAGACGGTCAAGCTGCTGATATCGCTCTCGTCATCTACATTCGGCAACAAGCGATAATTCGTTTTTACATCGAATTTTACGATAATAATGCTTGCACCATTGAAAGCAATCTCTTACCAATTTCACTATATTTTCAGAAAAGCAAGTTTTTAAAAATATTTCTATAAAAAAGCAAACTATATACAACCAACAAATATAAATTAATATCTTTTTGTATTGTATTTGCCAGTTTCTCCACTTAGAAATATATCTTTCTGTCTCTGGCATTAAACATAATTCCGATACCTTGAATCGCATCAGTCTCGGAGAACAAACATGATGTTTCATATAACTTGAACTATTTTCCATGCGAAGTATGCATGCGACATGCATTGTAGGTATTGTGCAAACTTACAAGTTCAATAGATATAATTAGAATAAAATGTATGAACGCTCACCTGACTTTAAAATACTCTTGCCAATTATAAAAGTAAATATAATTAAAGAGAAGATCAGAAAATATGCAGCATTCACATAAAGCTTATTCACATAACAAAGCTCATTCACATAAAAAGCTCACTATTCTAAAATGCAACAAAATACGAAAAAGCAAGATGTCAAAATGCATATTTGTAGCAATAAAAAAGAGGGCAAAACGATTGCATTTACTACACAAAAAATCAATTCTGTAAATATTACAAGACAATATTGCCGATCAAATTATATTTCTTGGAGATAAGTCTTCTTCGCGACGATAGATAATCAAATAACGGCGGGTCTTCGAGAATACGAAAGACGATAAAATTTTCATAAGATCGTCAAAGTTTTAAATGATTATATACACCCCCGCCCCGTAGCCATGAAAATTTTTCAATGATAATTTCCCACGCGACCGTGCTCCATGGGAACAAAGTTTAACCCAGTTTACGTCGTGTGTCTATCATAAACATCTCCTTTTACCCTCGTACCAGCCGATATGCGAGCTCGTCAGCGACATGCGAACGCGAAAAGCAAGACGAAAACAAACTTTCATGACGTGCATGTGCGCGCGTAGGAGAGTGCGATACCTTGGTAAGCGGCTGAAGGATGGAGAACGTCGTTAGTGAAATAGAGGTTGTTGACGAAGGTGAGGTAGCTCGGCCTGCCATAAAGAGACCGTGTGCCGGACCACCATAAGCTACGGCACCTCAAACCGTGAAAGCCCTTGCCTGGAAAATTATCGGTAATGCTCGTCTCCATTTCGCAAATAACTTACCAAATATCCTCATCGACTTCTCTTAAACGACGCACTCTCGTTGAATTCGCCCTCTGGACTTTTTCTCGCAGGTGCATCTCGTATTTTTACGGGGACGTGAGAAGTTTACGTGTGCAAAGTTTATGAGAATGTGATAATATTGCATACCAGGATGATACACATTGTATCATTATTTGTCTGTGCGGCAGCCATGCGGAGAAAATTATAATTAGGATGCATTAAAATTAAATATTTTTTATCCATAATACTATCAAATTTTATTTTAAATGAAAAATAACTATGTTACTTATATCTGTAAAATGTTTTTCCTCTGAATAAATATAAATAAATTATAAATTAATACACTAGAAAAATACTTTATAAAATAATTTTTTAAATTTTTATTATAAATAAAAAGCTGTTAAATAATTATTTGCGTAATTTTAAAAGTAAATAGTTTTAATTATTCCAGAAAACACATGTCACTGCAATTTATTTGAAAAAATCTCGCCGCATGGCTCTGATAATTTTAGTAATTGTTATCAACGATAGAAATTTGTGATAAAAATGGGACATTAAGACAGAAAACTATACGTACCACCTACACCGATAAGATTAAAAATCCGACAAAAAATTCTTTCGTTAAAATCAATCATTTTACACTAAGATGATATTCACGAGTATCAATCGCACTCGGTCTTATATGAAATATTTAAAGAAGAAAATGTCAGTATTAGTCAATCTCTACTAGTCACGCTTTTTTTACACCTTCACCAAAAATGTCAAAAGTTTATGTCCCAAAGTGTATACGAACTGCTTCGGATATATACCTGAATTACTATATCTAGCAATGAGATAGCCAGTCATGGCGTATAGACAACCATCAAACGCGATCATTAGCAACACTAATCCCAAAGACATCGGATCACCAGGACTCGATTCTTCCCACATGTGTGCCCAAGTAAGACCGACGCCTTGAACTTCCTTTCGTACAGCGTACAAACATCCGTAGCAGAAACTAGTGGACATGCTCAAACACTGAAAAATAAATCGTTTCGTAACATTCAACAATAGAATAAATTATTTATTAAGAGTGTATAATTTTATATTAGCGCACATCGCTGTTTTAATTAAAATATGTTTTTCTTTTCTAAAATATATTTTTACATTTACATCTGTTTATTTTTACTTTATAAAACCGAATAAGCTATCTAACTACGAATTACTCACGATTAAGAGTTTATATCCAAGTCCAAATACAGCTTCCATGGCGATAACGATGACATACGGCATATAAGTTAATAGGAACATGACAACCGTGGTAACTGCGGCAAGACTAGCAGAACTGAACATTGTCGAGATCATGTAGCTAAAATGCATTAAAAATTTATAATGGAGTAGGAAACGTAATCGCATGTGCAAATACATGCAATTATTTCACAACAGAAAGAAAAATTTAAAGTGGATATTTACCAAAAGGTAACAATCGAAAAGATGTAATCAAAAAGTAAAATAAGTATTAAGAGAGGATCCGATCGTGGAAGGATTTTTCCAGCGAGTAAAATTAGAGCAATGGAGATCATTACGATCGACAGCTCTACGAAAGACGTTATGAACCAAGCCAGAGTATTTCGCCACGGCTTCAATCCCATTACACTCATTACCTGAAAAATTAATCACGACAGATAATCATAGAGTGTAGCGTTTCCTGATAAAAAATTAAACGTTACATATATTAGTAATCGTACCATGGAATTTTGCGATTCTCTTTCCCAAACAATATATCTGACGGCCGATCCGACACACATCATTAATGCGAAGAAAAAGCATACCTGCATACCTTGAGACTCATAAAGCGTTGTTTGAAATCTGAAAAATTTTTTTTTTTTTTTGAAAGCAAATATAAATAATTTAAAAAATTATTAATTAAGATCAATGGAATTTTAATTTTTAGAAAATTTATTTGCTTGGCATTTATTTCTTATCACAAGTTATGGAATTATTTCTTCGATTACTCACGGTACGTATTTCCAACACGGATATGGCATTTGTTGCGTGAGTGTCTTCCAATTGAGATCCCTTTGAGCCTTCACCTTCACGATCGCACGATCGATGGAGTCCTGGAGTTGAATAAAACCGCGAAGATACCTGAGATGTTCGAGAAAGCTGCTCTCAGGTCCAGGAATCCAAAATTGATTCTTTAATCGTTTAGTGGATGGCACGTAGTCTACATCCATGCGAATTTTATAAGTGATATTGTCCGGTAATTCGTAATTTAGAGATTTCTTTGCACGATGTGAGGTAGTTTCCAGAAAGATCACTCCGGCGAGAAACTCGTTTGTGTCGGTCAAGCGACTGGCTGCTGCTTCCAGTTCCTCTTCCGAAGAAAATCCTATCGTTCTGTTTACCAGCACGCATCCCATCATATCGTTCAACGAGCCAATCATCGAAATTAATTTTTTTGATTTTTTCAGCCGCCACGAAATCTCGCTGAGATCGAGCTCAGAAAAATCACCTAAGATAAGATAAAGGAACCGTAGGCTTCTTTTAAATTAATTTTTAAAATAAAGCAAAAATAAAATTCGAAATTTGAAATATGAACAATACCTTCAAAATTACCACCACCCATCGATTTGACAGCAACTTTCATGACATCAGAGGACATTATACTTTGTAAGTCTTTCAAAGTATCGCCCATCTCTGAGAGACTAGCCAGAGACTTGAGAGTCTTCTCTAAACTATTCATCAGTACGCTAAAGTGTTCCATCTGCACGAAAGTTTCGTTCGCCAACGTCATAACTTCGGAGATTGCGATAGTATCGGGCGCATAAAGAATCTGACCGCGTAACAGAGGCTTAACGTATGACCAGACAATCTTTCCGCCAGGCATACCGAGCACGGTTTTATATGTCTCTCTGCAGAAATCATCTACAATTAAAAGAATTATTTATTTAAATAGTGATTTTTATTTTTATTTAATCTGTTTAAAATTTTTTACTTTATTGTCTTACTTGGCAGAGAATCGAGTTCTTTTTTATCGTATGCCTTATTGGTGTCTTCTAAATTAGAGATAATTTTATAAATCTGTCTATTGTCTTGTATCATTATTTTGCCACAGAGCATTTCGCTAGCATCCTTCAGGAATTGCGAATCTGGAAAATATACAGGTATAAAACTTAATCAAAGAAATGGAAAATCAGTTCACGAAGTTTATTCGATTTAAATATTACGATGCTTAAATATGCTACGTTATTGACGTACTAGATAGCGTGTCTTCCGTCTCTTCCGTATTACTTTCTTCTGTATCATTTCCGAAGGAAAAACTTGCCGATAACTTGTCTTTGAAAAATGGAAATAGTTCCGCAGCAACGCCGAGATTATCCAATATAACTTTCCCTTCAGTTTCGGTTAGATTAGCATTAGCCAATATATTTTTTACATTAGCGCTCATTAACTGAAATAAAGAAAAATATTCTTTTTTTATATTTTTGTAATATTTAAGATTATATAAAACGATAGACAATAATTACGTTTTTGAAAATATAATCGAAATTTAAATTCTTCATCAACGTGATAGCAATATTTTGCGTTTGCGAGTCCTCCAATTGGCAAAGCGCGGAGCTAACTTCATCGGCAGTTACGAGATTATTATTGAAGTGCAACATATCGCCAAGTTTCTCGGGTGAACAAACGGTATCTTTCAGACTAATGACGCCGCGTTCTTTCATGAAGATCGAGATCATGTCTATCTTGGCCTGACTTAAGGTGAGTGCGATTTCGTTAGTTATGCCGATTCTATCGATCAAAAATGTTCTCACAAAGTCCCAATTGTCGAACATTTCTTTGACGATATCTGTAAAATGTAAATTACTAGAAATAAAAAAATTACAACACGATCTAACACACGGAATTTGAATATGATTTATTACATTTCATATCGAGCAGTCCTAAATTTTTGAAAATTTCCATTGACTCCAATGCCGTGATCATGCTATGTAGATCGTCGGTTATTTCCTGATCGTTTATAAATGGCGTTACGTCCTCGAGGAGTTCTTTCATTCTAAAAAAGAATATACACATATTAACGATAAATTACGATAAATTATTAAAATGTATCGCAGTAATATAGATCTGAATTTTGTAAGAAATATTAATCCGTTAATCATTAAGGAATATAACTTTATTATCGATTTATATATTTTATCCTCTATTATCATATATAAGATGGTATAATCGAAATATATATACCCATCAAATAGTTTGTCGACCGTTTTATCGTTCAATATATTGACTATGCCATCGGCGAGATCGGGGATCCCGAGTATGTTGGAGACGTCTTCGAAATCTATTTTACTAGCAACGTCCAGCAAATTCCCGCTTTCTCCGAGGATCGAGGATAGATGACCCAAGATCTCCTTGAGCCAGATGAGATCCCAGGCGGCCTGGGAGCGCCAGAAGGCCTGCTGCCGATTTATGAAGTCTACGTCCAGACTGCGAGCCAACTGATTTGAAATATCGGATATCGACGGATAGTTGGACGCCCTCGGATCGTATCGGAAAACCTTGCCAGCTCTTTTTGAACTCAGAAAATTGTATAAAATCGTTGCATTCTGGCAGTCGATTTTTGTCCGACACAAGGTCGTGTTCAGATCGCTCAGTATCGCGTTCACGTTGATAGTGGCGTTCGGTAACGCAGCGTCGATATCAGCGAGATCAGACTTCTTCACGACATCGCGTAACGGTTGCCAGATTGGTACGTATTTCTCGGCTAGTCTGGTCAAATGGTTGATATTCTCGTGGATGGTCGCCGAGTCCAAAATGTAAACGTTCTTTTGCAACATGTCCAGTACGCTCAAAAGAAGCGAGATGTATCTTGAATGTAATGACGAATTATTTTATCGCCGATCAAATTTATCTATTTTTTGCATAATGCGCAACGAGAAATAAAAGATACTTACAATCCTGGTCGAGAATACGTAGGACCGCCGACGAACTTGTAAAAGCACTCGGTTACTCTGTCATGGTATGTCTCATTTTGGAATTCGATTATGATATCGGCGACGTAATGTAAAGTAGTTTCAAACGTAGTTAAAAACTCATCTAGCGTCTTTTTCTTATTCAAAAATTTGTAATCCTTGATCTAATAATTTTTTTAAATTAATGATTTTATAATTAATAATAGTATACCAATACTCTCTTTTGTACAACTTGCAGTTATTATTTCTTACCATGTTACCCGTTTTATTCCAATTGAAATCATTGATTAAAATGTTGTGAACCTCCGATATATTTAGTCGATTCATTTGACAGAATAGTTTTGAATAGAGAGCGTGGTACGCCAACTGAGAATTTAAAATCTCTATTGGAAGCGTGAAGCACCACGTACAATTTCTATAAAATCAATAAAATTAGCATATAGATTACTTTTGTTTTATTATTAATAGATTGATCTTGATATTTCTTAACGACGTGTTTGCTTACTTAGCATCAATTTGAGTTTCTAGAAAATTTTTCAATATCTTTATTGACTTTTTCACCATCGAATCTGCGAGAACCCTCGTATCCTATTGACAATTTTAATTATATTAATTAATTAAAGCGCATATCTTTTTTTTTAATATTTATAAAT